GATCTTCAGCTGCCCGGCACTTCAGTGTCAGGCTTGGATTTAGATGACTAATTGCGAATTTGGAGTCAAAAATTCAAGGCACATTTTAAAATGATAGTCAAAGGCTCATCTATCCATGACAAATAACACATTGACTAATTATAACTGCTTTCAAATACTATTTTTAAAACTTTTTTTTTTAAGGTATTGGCTGGAGCTTATGTGAGAAACTATTATGTGCTTGCGATAAGACAGCAGCTGAATGCATGGCTTCTGCCTTCTTCAATGAAAGCCTTAAGTTTCCACACAGGCAAGTATGCCAAGAAGAAGTCGTCTTATGTCGGAGTGGAGTATATGAACAGCCTTTAAGCAGCACAGAATTAGGCACCAGGATTTCTAGCTCCGAGGAAAGCAGTGAAGAGGAAGATCCATGATGGAGCATACTAAAAAGAACAAACGGAGGGAGACACTGTCCATTTGGAAGTGTAAGAATTCTACAACATGATAACGAACCGTGACCATCTTTTTGAGAAACAGCACGGAGAATTTCATTCAGCCACTGTGTACCTTACTCTGTCTTGTCACTCTATGCTATCCTACATTTTCCAGCAAAAAAGTGATATAATCATAGACTAGGTTATATAACCCCTTACCATAGTTAAGTCTGCACTACAGACCATCTTACTTAGATCAGATACTACCTTAAATAATTATTTGAAAGCGTTAAACATAATTTTATTCAATTTCTAGATAAAAAAATCAGTTCTAATCAAAGACTGAATTTTGTTAACCACTTAGTTGGTTAAAACTGGGTCTTGCTGATAGCGGCTAGGTATCCTGGATTTTTAATTAAATCAATCTGCAACTACTCAAACTCCTTTTGCAGACTTTGTTCCTTTACTGAGCAAAGCAGGGCATATCCAGAAGAAAAGCAAAGGCAATTACATGAAAGTGTGTCCCTTCTTCCCTTCCTGTCTAATCGGAATTTTACAATCTGTGGAATTTGTGTTGATCGATCAAATCATTGCAGTAAAAGATGAACATCTGATAAAAGTCATAGTCTTTGCCTCAAAGTTGTATACTATGCACAATTATCTCCAGTCTTGGGAGATTTCAAGCTCTTTGGGGAATAAATTAAAAGGCTCTACTTCCTGGGATCAACTAAAAATTAACAAATTCTGAAGGATGTACTACAAAGAAGAACACCGTTTGTTTTCTGATGAAGCCAAGTCTTTATACTTTTTCCCAGAAAGCTTTGTCATATTCACCACTCATTAGATTCACCAGTTATTAGATGACAGCAGTATAACAGTTATATATATAACTTTAAACTTAATAAGGTGTTAACTTAGACTCCTTCGATCAGAAGTATCACCATGAGGAATGAAATTACCAAAGCTAAACAAAAAAAATCCATTAGGGTCAAAATCACTAGCAAGCTTGTTACTTGAATACAAAAGATGTGCACAACGGTACAGATCTTGATATTTCTTTCTCATTAGATTTCAGCTGTATAACACAAAACAGTGCAAATACATAGCTTAAACCCAGGAGTGACCTGCCCAAAGTAGCACATAACACTGTATTCAATGGGATTACTTGTATTTCCATACTCTCTGAACATGTATTTGCAAAATCAAAACCACAGCAACAGGGTACTTCCTTTGTAAGCACAATTAGGTGCAACACTGAAGGCCTGAGTTCCTGATCAAAGGCAATCATATTATTTGAACTTGACTAACCATTAATTTATTTACCTGCCACAACTGACTGTGCGCTCCGTTTGCATCACTCATGAGATGAGGTGAACTTTTTTTTAAAGTTTAGATTGGTGTTTCCCACTTCTTTCTTTCTTCAGTTGAATCTCATCAGTGCTCCTTTTTGTTTTTCTTTTCAGCTGCATGCTTGACCCTACCGCCATCTTTCCCTCCCCAGGAAGCGGTAACAGCATCCCACTCTCACTGGCAACTCCTCTCGTACTGAGCACTAAGCCCAGTAAAGCCCAATCCCCCCACCACATACCCCTAAGTTCAGTAATTTGGGTTCTGTTTGCGACATGACCTTTGATGCACCTCACATACTGGAATGAAAATTGAAAAATCTTAGCCTTACATCCCAGTTGAGGTGCCTTCAGATACTAAATGTGACAGAATGTAGCAGTTCAGGCGCCAGGTAACATAAGATACCCAAATCCTGAGTTGCACAACTCTGGGCCAGCAAACCTACAGCGAGGATGAAACTGAACAGAAATTAACACGCTTGTCAAAGCTTTTGCATATGGTTCTTAAGAAGTTCAACACCAAGTGATATGTCAAGAAATGATGTTTGTGTGATCCTGATCATCCAAAAACAAATGAATAATTCATTTGAATATCAAGGTGTACATGTCTCACTTTGTCTTTTGAACTACAAAGGTTCTCAAGAATTTCCATAGATATTGCTTCATTTCAATTCGCCTAACAAAGGCAGTTTATTTTAAACTATTAACCATAAGTATATGAAAGAGCAAAATAGAAAGTAAGTAATTCACAAAATATTTTTATTAAGTCAAAAAGTTGCCATATTTCCCCCATTTTGACATTCTCTTAGAACAACATATTTCTACCGGTAGCATTTCTTAAAACAAAAACTATTGCTACAAGCTTTCTAGAGATTTAACTGCTCTGAAAAGTCCAGGTTTCTTCTCTACAATCCTGTTTTAAAGGGTCTAACTTGGTCATAAAAACATTCTTAGTATTCATTACAGATCAGTGACTATACCCTAACTCTGAATACAGAAATGCTGCACATGTTCTTTCGAATCGTGAAGTAGTTGACCTGGACCATATAGCTTGATCTCTTCGTGCAAGTTGACACTGTGAGAACAGCAGACAAAACTGCAACTGAATGTTCTTGGATGAGTAGTTTATATAATATAAACCTCTGTTTGGTGGTATTCTGTATTTTTCCTGCCTTAAAACTACAAAGAGTTAGAGCAGTGCAGAAACAACAACAACAACAACAACAGTGTTCAACAACATGAAGCCTCACAGCCTACAGTATCTGCACCATTAGCACTAGAGAACACAAAACCAGAAGTGACGATAGGAGAACATAAAAGCCCTTCCTTTAATGAAAGGGAGAGAGGACAGCTAAGCGATGTAATGAATTCTAGCAGCAGACAAGATTTTAGCTAACTTTGAATTTTCTTTCACGCTCTATACTCTATAAAAAGGGGCCATTTCAGTACTTAATAAAATTGCCTGCAAGTCTGCAAAATGCCCATTTTTCTCTACTGTTGAAGATGAGTTTTGTATTAAGCTGATATGTTTACTCATTTCAGAACTGGACCTTTCAAAATTTACAAGCCTTTTATCATAGTGATGGAAAACTGTTTTGTATTTCACAGCATTTATAAATAAAAATGTTATTGAGAAGGTCAGATACCCAATTAGCTGAAGCAGGAAAATTTGGCCTTTAAACAATAAGTGCATCACTGCTGAATAACAGCACAAGCTCCTTTCTCTGATTGACGATAGCAGTGCTGCTGCTCTGAATCCCGCGTTTAAAACGCATGCTTAGCAGAAAGGGACTTTTGCTTTTAATTATTAAAAAGTAGTATTACATTCAAGGTTATAATATCACAGATACATTCAGTCAGCAGTATGTCAAAGTATCCAGAATTTTTTTTTTATTATTTATTTCAGAGATACAGTTAGACCACCTGAATCAATCAATTAAGACAGAGAGATTACATTATCTATATGCTGTTCATAACCTGCTGTGGAAGTTATGTCATAGCTAATTCCTTTGGGTGTTTTTCCAATCTCTCTTATTTCAGGAAGAATTTAATACTGAAGTTTTTCTGTACAGATTAATTCCTATCATATAAGTTGTTTTAATAAAGAGAAGTTTTAAATGACCTACATATGTCTGATTATCAGCTATATTTTTCATTCTGAGATCAGCTCTAAAATAATAACAACATATTACATAAGAAATACAGAAGCAGATGAAGGAAAAAAGTATCAAAGCTTTTTTTTCTTTCTTCTCTCATTCTTGCAGCAGCTTTACACTATATTTTTAAATTGGGGGCATAGCTAGCTATAAAAAGGATGTGTCCCCAAAGCAAACAAACAATCTGCACTTTAAAAGATTCCCTATTTAAGTAGATACTGATTTACTTCTTGCAACTTAATATTTAAAAACTTATTTTTTTGCCTGTAATCTGATAAAAGTGTTAACGAATTGGGAAAGCCATTCTATCAACAGTGTCACCGAATTTTGGAAGTCATAAACTTTGGAAAACAGCCTTATTCAGGAATATTGGCCATCTTGATCACAGGATTATTAAAACCAGGAGCAATGACTGAGTTGAAGAGTTCCAAATAAAGGCAACGTCATGAGGAAAAAAAAAAAAACTCTAGTCCTAGTTAGCTTCCAGCCAGGTGATCCCCGATACCCCAGAAAATGGCTCTTAGCAAGTCACCTTTGCTTTGTCTTCCCACTGCAGGAAATTTAACTTTGCTTAGAATTTTCTCCCTATTTGATCTGATACTGCAGGGTGACAAAATCTCTAATTTACCTCTACCTTCTCTTTAGAGATGATCTTAAAAAAAAAAAAAAAGAAAAAAAGAAAAAGTCTCCCAAGTGCAGGTATTTCTGTCTCCCTGGATTGTTCTGAGGAGTTAGTTATCAAAACCCTACTCGGATCAATCCGAGCAACAGAAGAGCGTTGATAACCATGCATCTTGATGGCAGGTTCTGAGATTCATGAGAAGTCATAGAAAAAGGCGGCCCTACCCTCTTTAAATTTCCTAAACATACACGTTCTTAATGGTTAGAAAAATCGTAATCAGAGGGACAAGGGAAAAAGACGACAACAGAAACCTCTACATAGTAGGCCACGATTTATTTGAGCTAAGAAGGTCCTAACCTCCTCAAAATAGAAGAAAAACATTTTTGCCTCTTTTGTCAAGATGCACTTTAAAAACATTTAAATAAATGGAGCATGCCAGAAAAGGGGGTAAAAAAAAAAAAAAACAGTACAATATTTGGCCCTATTAGACAACATCACTGAAAAACATTAACTGCAAGCTGTATGCAGACCTTAATATGCACTAGTAATACAATTCCTTGAACCAGATACAACAAAAGTGCTACATGTTTTCTCAACAAGGTAGACAGACTCGAAAAGCATGGTTTACTTACTTTCTCCTAGGTTATTTGCTAGTAGGAAATGATCTATGCATTTCTGCCTTCTCAAGTTTTGGGGCTGTCTTTCAAGAATAATAGCTTAATAGTGCTGTGATGCTTTACATTTGCAAAAAAAAATTGTTTGAGTAAAATGAGGTTTTGTTTTACATGCCACAAAAGGACAGCACCAACATTTTCACTGTGAGCCCTAAAAAGTAACCAACACCTTAGAAAATATTTATTTTAAATTTTGGTTTATTTTATTGCTTAAATATAGATTGCACAGTGTGTTCTTACATTTACTGAAACTGTTTCATTACGTACAGTACAGAATATACGGCTATCAAGACAACGGACGAGTTAGCCCTACGTTGATTTTGGACGACAGGCTATTTTTTTTCTTTTGAAATTAACAAAGATTTAATTTAAAATGAACCGCTACCAAAAGCCGTAAATTTTCAAAATGACATGAAAGGGAAGAGAATTCAAAGCAAAAGCTGGAATACATTAAACAGCTGGATACCAATTTATAAACACATAAACAGTACTCAACACGTTGCAGATAATATAGACCCAGTATGCATATTCTAAGTTCTGCAACTCATCTCACAAACATAAAAAGATAAGTCAATCAAAGCAAATTCATACTGTAAAACAGCATTCTTACTTCATTTGGTTTCATTTATTACCTACATACTATAAGAAGCTATCAAAACATTTTGCAACGACTCCCATCACCTAACTGTCCAAAATGGCCACAGTGAATCAACTGACAACTTACAGACTCCCTGAATTTCCAGAAAGAAAGGAATTAAACATCATCTCAGCATTTGGAGTGTTACAAGCTCTTCATTCCCTGCTCAGTACCTGCACAACACCTGCACTCTCCAAACAAAGCTGGTTTGAACTTTGGAAGCGTGGGAAACTATCATTAGCATAAAAGAAAAATACTTCATATACACAACAGAAAATGAAACAAATGTAATTATTTTCACAGGCAGCGCTCATGCAACAAAATTCAGAGAAACAATTGTGTATTTACACAGTCTGCATACTGCAAGAGTGCAAACAAGTACATTCCATATTTCTTACTCTTTAGACTGCTTATTTTTCTTTTTGTACAAAAGTGCACAGTGTTACTCTAAAAAAAATGACAGAGTGGATAAGTGTTTTACATTGTATCCCTTGGTAATATTTACTATTTAAAAAATTACACTCTTTATATAGGTAAAAACCATTATGTCTTACCTTAAAAAAAACAAAAAGAGAACTAAAAGCTAGAGTGACAACGAGTCCTATTTATGTGCAGACTGTGGTGTGATCAGGCTGATACGTTGCAGCAGTAAAAATCACAACGGAATGCTGTAGGTAAAGGGCTGTTTCGTCATCCACTAACAGCTGTGATTGCACTGTTAAACTGAAAAGAAGGTCTCAATTACCTTTTGAGTTTTGTGAATGGTTTCTGAAAGTCTCAGCATGTTATCTCATAGGTTTAAGTAGCTGAAATTTCTCTGATGTCATGACATATTAGGCTTTTAAAAGTAGTGTAGTGGAACACCGCATGTCAGTTTAAAAATCTAGAAGCCTGTTCCACAGCAGGTGCATAAATACTCAAAATATTTAGCGAGTTAGCTGGCTTGCTCATCCAACGACACCATTTGCATCTCTGAATTATGAAATCATAGATTAATTTAGGTTGGGGCTTCTGCAGGTAATCTAGTCCAAGCCCCTACTCAAATCATGGCTAAATGAAGCTACATCACTTTGCTCATGGCTCAATCACTGTTCATCTGAACTGCTGTCTAACTTAAATGCTTTACATTTGAAACAGATATTTGAGAATATTCATTCACATTTGTGCTTGCTTCAGTCAGATTCAAACAGATTACAGGACTTCAAATTTCTGCTTATGGGATCAGCTACAGACACTTTTCTTTTTGCCTGCAGAAGTTAGTCATAAAGACAGCTTTGTCAATTAACATCAAAATCTCAGTGATTTACTGTATCAGTTTTACTGAATTTACATTTGAATTGTACACTCAGATACATAAACCTATGAAAGTTACATTTGCCTTATTTCCAGTAAGATTTGTGAAATGAAACAAAAACGAATACACAAATGCATCTGTAAAAATGCTTTTGCTTGAAAATACATCTAAAAGTCTTGGTCTTTAAATATTTTCAATCAGTTTTCTTTCAACTTCCAAAATATCATTAAAAAGCTGTAATAAACTGCAGAGAAACATCTCATAGAATATAACTGTAATTTCTGTATTTCTGATCGAAAATGCCCTCAGTTTATTTGTTGCTATACTAAATATATCTCTCTCATGTATTTATACTAAAGCAGACAGAGCAAAATACTACTGCATTTTCAAAAGTACAGTCTGTAAACTATACATCTTAAGACATGAAAAATATTGCACAATTCAGTTGTTCAAGAGGAGACTTTCATCTGTTAAGCAAAGAGCTAACTTTCAGCAGGTAACACAGGACATATACTGGGCGTATATATCTAAAAAGCACATTATATGATGCAAAGATACTTAACAAGTGCCCAATTATTCATTTACTGTACTTGAACACATGGAAGGCATTGTCCTATCCTGTTTCTACCCCTCAATATATTCCAAAGTAAAGAAACAGATCAACTATGACACAGAATGAACAACTGAATGAACTGCTCCACTGTTACACATATTGAGATGAAGCAAGCCAAAAGCTTTCTAGTTAGATACATAGATTGAGGTGGAGAGGAGGAAAACGAAACAAAACAAAGCTCTAACTACAATATCTCAAATTAAAGAAATTCACAGAAATACAAATTCGGGAATAACTGAAATAGTTGTCTATACGGCAAGACAGGCTTTACATCTAACTTTTACATGTACTTAAATATGAAAATGAAGGAATGTGATATATGACAAACCTAACTACAAATATACTAGACAACAAACAACTCAAGACAGTTTCAAGAGTTTGGCTAAAAAAAAAAATCTGCATTTGGCTCATGTCCATCATTATTTTAAAGTTAATTTAGATGAAATAAACAATAGAATTTGAAAACTCATCTTGTTCTTTCTACTGTACTCTACTCTAAATAATGTCCAGCAGACTTCAGAAGACACTTAATACACACAAAGATCTGGAAACTTCATCTCATAGACTGGAACGGATTGGTAATGAGCATGTCCAGCAGTAATAGTCATCGTTCCTGAGGGGCTAGGTGGAGGGCTGTGCGAGAAGAACAAACATTATGCATAATTTACAATTATAAAGATTGCTTTCTTTTTTATAATTATAACACTAATAACTGGGAAACAAAAGTGAACTTGTTTTCAACAGCCTCGGTATCTTATCATAATCCTGAAATTCTAATTAAATTACCATGCCTCAGTATTAATTTGCACTCTAGTATGAAACAACTTCATTGATTTTACAGAAAATAGTTTTTACTAACAAATATTATTCATACTGCACAACAGATGTGCACGATTCTCTACAATAGTCATCTACTATTTGTTATGTTCCATTTTTAGTTCCTCAGAGCAACGCCACAGTAGCATTTTTCAATACTACTGTTTTGCTTAAAAGAATATAATATTAATATAAAAAAACTTCAAACTTGCTAAAATGTAATATAATATCATAAATACTCTTTATATTTCCATAATCAGGGGCCAGTTCTCTTTAATTTCAACTGAGTGATTAAACTTATAAAGGGCATTTATACATACAGTACTTATGCTATGACACAGTCACTGAATATTCTCCTCTATCTACAAGATTTAAAATAATAACAAGAAAAAGTGACTTTTAGATGAAGACTACTCTTTTGCAAGTAAGTCAATTTTATGCATATGTGTTTAAGAACACTATAAACACTTAAAAGCAGTCTGCAATTATTTTAGAACTCATTTTCCTTTTATCACATCCTTCTTGCATAAAACCTTACCGAATGGTGAGTTCCAGTATCTGTGCAAGTCTATCATGAAGCAAGTTTGCCTAGAGGGAAAGAAAAAGAAAAAGAAAAATTTCATAATTAGCTACTATGTATTGAATGAAGCTAAGCTGAACATGCCAGGCCAGCTCTGTGACTGTATTCCACATTGCCACGTGGCAAATCTAAGCAGCATTTCCAATTTAGACTTCCTTCTCCATTACTGCAAGGATTCTGAGACCTGAAGAGGCACATGAGATTGAATGAACCTACCTTGGAGTGCCAAGATTTATATAGTAATTTTTGCTGTTCTAGATAGGAGTTTAATAAAATGCAAATACATTTAGCTATTCATTTATAATGAGGCAAACACTGCTCCAGTTATTCCAGAATGAAATATGGATGGACTGTGAATCTAGGTTGCAAAGACAGTAACCATAACATTAAGATGAAGAGTGTATAAGATCTCCACTCCTTTTCAAATGGCATAAAGGACCAATCAAAGTCGAACTTTAAAAAACTGGAATTTCTTAATATTGACAATAGTAGAGACAATAGTTGAAGATAAAGAGCTGAACAGTGTTCTTTCAAAGTAACTGTAGTGATATAGTATCACAAGCAACCTTTGGCAAATATATATCCACTAAAGACTATACTAGTATCTTCAGTGCTGTATAACATTTTTCAGAAACTCACTTTGGTTTCACATTGTGCTGCAATTTCTTCAAACGGGGCTTTTTGGAACTTTTCAATCACAAGACGCCTTTTTTCTTTTTCTTGCTCTTCAAGTCCATTATTATCTAAAAAAAGACAAATATAACCTATGTTCATTGAGTACAAGTGATAGAAACCTCTCACCGTTTTGGCTTATTTACATTGCATTTTTAACCTTCAAATGTGCACTGTAAAAGCACAGGAGAACAGTATTTGAAGTGATGCAACCAGATCTAAGTGAACTGTCATCAGATATTGCACCTAATGCAAAATGCAGATTTTTTGAAGAACCAGGGTGAGGATGCCAGTTTTGCCCCTTTCTCACTATGTGCTTTAATTAGGAGGGCAGTTAGGTTTCCTCTTGCTTCTTTATCTGTGCCCAAGACTCTGCTCTTCTCACTCAGAGCACACAAGAGAAGAGAATTGAGTACCCTCCCTCCCAGTATCACACAGACAGGTAGGCAGGATTTTCTATTAGAATTTGGACCAGAATTTGGGAAAAGTAAATTCAATCTCTACAGGCTGAGCGAACCTTGAACCTGGTTTTGCTACTACTTGGATGAGTATGCCAAAAGGTATCATGGCCATTATGCAGAGTCCTGACCATGCACCTACTTTTTAGTCTCTCCAGGGATATGAACAAAGCTCAGAAGCATGTTTACCTGGACTGCAAAGCAATAGAAGATACCTGTTTTTTCCCAAAAAACACACTTAAGCAGACATGGCAACAAATGAGAAAAATCTTTGCAACTTCCAGGCATCTAATGAGTTTAAGTACCACCAGGATTAAGCAGTTTTGGAAAACTGGCAGATCAAATTAGTGTTTATAATTTCAAGGTTTAGGGCTCAACTTTGACAGGATTCAGGTGGGCTGGACTAATAGCAATATGAAATACAGAAACTAGCTAATTCCAGGTTCTGCTAGCCGCGTCACTGGTTAGAAGAATCTTCTTTTAATCAAATGAGATATACCTGTATCAATATAGGAACTTGAAAATTGAGTGTTTTGAAGACTGCAACCCACATCTTACTATATATTTTGTGAATGCACCGAATACCTACCTGATCTGTTTTTAACATGTAAACATATATTTAAGTTGCTTTGTAAATAATCACTCCATAGAATTTGGAAATCTCACTTTTTTCATAGGTTGGTCTGTAAGGGCCAATTTATAGATCAGAGGCATTCCCAAATACTTCTCGTTCAGTTATATTAGCTTCAGAAAATAAAAATGTTTCCAAGTTTTTGAAATATTTCCATAGTTTTAGTGAATCAACTAACTGAAGCTTTAAACAAATGTAATATTTTCATTATGTTATTCTGGTAAAGCTTTTTCTCTAGTAATTCCACAGCAATCTGGAAGTAAATCGCATAAGCACAATTGTAATAGGTCTTACCAATTGCTTTCTTCAAAGCTTCAAAAGTGATTTCTTCAGTATTATCAATCTAAAGAAGAAACAAAGCTCCTTAATGCTCACATATCAAAAGCTTTGGAAAAATAAGGAATGTGACAAATACAGAATGCTCCTGAAGAGCTACAGAGCTTTTTTGCCTTACGAGTTTCCAAGTGTTTTGTTAGGAGCTCCTATTATTATAGCAGACAGATCACTAATTATGCTTTTTAGCCACTGTAATGATATCTCTTAGGAAGCAACTATTTTTATATAATCAGAACTGTTAGTGACAACTTCATTTAAAGATGATTAGCATTTTTTTTTTTTTTATTTCAAGACTCTCTTTAAATACCAACAATACATCAAAATAATGATTCAGGCTCAAGTTCTGTCCTAAGCAGCTTCCCCAAGATAATTTATTGGGGAAAACTGTAATAAATAAGATCAGGAAAAACTTTCCAACTCTGCTCAGGATGTTTTATGACAACAATGCTTTGTAAATGGACTTGATTTTCAGCAGAAATTCTCCTTTGAGAACAATTAGATATACATATAGGAAAAGTTTTGCTTGCAGTCTGTTCCCCTCTCCTCCCCCCCACCCAGCCCCAGAAGATGATTTGTTAAAGTATCTTGTGACTTTCACACCTTATCCTCTGTGTTGCTTCCAGGCAGAATATCCACCTGAATAGATACCGTGTCAACAATGCTCTTCCTTCTGGAGAGTCTGTCTTCATCTGAAAGAAAAATAGTATTTTCTCACTTTTATAACAGCTGAAACGTGAAGAATCAAATTTCTACATGGTTTATGGTAACGTGATTTTATAAGATTTCCACATGAAAAATGATCAGTTACTGTTCTGACTATATGGTTAATTAAGAAGGCAAATAATCTCTTGTCCTTTCTCCATCCCATCCCAAATCGTTCCAATTTTCCCTTGAAAGTCTGTAATTTAAGAATTTGAGATGAAATCTCATTCAAATACACAATACCAACATAGCACATGATGATACACTGCTGTGAAGTAGTTTACAAGAGCCTAAACTGTTTTGTTTGCTTGTTTTGAAATTTAAATTTTAAGGTCTTAATTTGAAGGTATTCTGAAAGAGAAAAGGGGGGGCACTGGAAAGGGACCCACTGATGCAAGAAGTAAAGATTCCTGCATGGAAACGCAAAACAATTATTCATTCTTCTTGGTGTTACAAATATTGCATTGGGTCATTCTAAAAACTGCTTGGTGGAAAAAGGTATTCTGACTTTTTCTGACTTTCTTCAAACATTTTAGGAAGTTTAACTGCCCTGAAAAAGTTGTCAGAATAAGACCAACTGTGCTTTTATCAAAAAAGGAATATCACAATTTCATTAATGTAGAAGTAGCTTATGTTCAAATGGTAACATCACTAGATGGATTTCTCTTTTGTGACCACATATCCAAGAGATGATACAATCATTTCTCATTTTAGACAGTTAATACATTAACATAAGATAAAAAAACAACAAGAATACATCTACGGATGTGTCATGAGGGTCATCTGACAAAGGAGGACATGAACACCCTCACTTTCATGCATCTGATTTAATAAATCATGACTTGCCCTGTCACAATTCAGATTTCAGATGAGATCAAGCCATTTGGAATTGGTCACTGCTGTTTCAGGTTGATGAATTGCACTGCACATAGGGAGAAACATCTACATATGCTTGATAATACACTGAAGATAAGGAGAATGACAGTAAAATTCCCCTTCACATGGTATTTTATGCTGGTTTTTCATAGTCTTTTTTTTAATGCTTTGGAGCAAAATGTTTTTGCAGTACAGACACTAAGCAAGAAAAACCACAATTCATTCCACAAGATCCGAACACACTTATCTTAAAAAAGTTTCAGAAAAGTCTTAAAAATAAAATGCCATTTTAAGATCAACAGGCAGTGAAAGAACAAGATTGGTGAAAACCACCCTGAATTCTAGCTATCTTTATCACATTCTCAGAGCCCCTGAGCTTTTGAAGAGGTACTTTGAAGAATTTATTTAATTTTTAACCCCTGACGGCTCATTGGTACACTTTCCAATACACCAAGAGCCTGAGGGAAGCACACTGACTGTCAAGAGTAAACATAAGACAAAACTACATCTTTGCTGCCATCTTGCTGCTCTCTCTATAATTGACATGCAAACAACAGAAGACGCGTTTTTAGGGCTACTTTGCACATAACTCATTTTTTATAATGGATGTCTAACTGATCCTGCCCTTCTCTAATTTCAACATATGAAGTGAGTAAAAAAACTGTGAAATTTGCATTTTTTTTCCTGTTAGGTCAAGTGATAACAAGCTCTTCTCCACACACACACACCCAGGAGCCCAGAGGCACAGCGGCTGGCAGGGGACCCCCAATACCCCAGACGGTGCCACGAGCCCCGGCACTGGGGAACAGCGTTTGGGGAGTGCGCAAGACTTCTTATGGGATGGTTAGGGGAAGGACCAAAGGTGGGGAAAGGGAGGAGTCAAGGTGGTTTGGGGGGAAAGAAGCATGGGAAAACAGAGGGACAAGCGGCCAGTTGTGTGTAACCAGGTTGCTGGTCAGTGCAGTTGCCTGGCCATGCCCTGCATCTCATCAGTGCCCTCCGTCCGATCTTCTCATTAAACTCCATTTCTAACTATTGTCCTGGGTGAGGGACTCCCTCTTCTCTGCGCACGGGTGTACGTGGAGGTCTGAGCGCCAGCAGCTAGAGCGGGAGCCCAGGTGATGGGCCCCGTGCGCCTGGGTGCCAGCACCTGGGGCGAACAAGGGCACGCACAGCAGCGCGCCATCGTAGCGAGCATCAAGCCGGACCAGCCGGCGAATAGGGCAGGTGGCCTGGGAGCCAGGTCTGCGCGTGCGCCTCTGAGGGGGAGGCACCTGGAGTTGGCTACTGGAGGGTCCCGGCCAACTTGTGGAGGAACTGTGGGGTCTGGCAGTTGACTGAGAGACATGGGGGTGTTAGGGTGTGCAAGGGGCTCTCTACCAGCTACCAGCTGGACCTGAGGGTACCGAGCTGTGGCAGCCTCGCCCCTGTTGGGCAGCTGGAGTCAGCAACTCCCTAAAATTTTCCAGCTGAGAACAGCCAATGAACATCTGTGCACTGCGCGTCATTTAGGCACTCAAGAGCTGGTTGATTGCAGAAGACTATTTCTGTTGGGTACTTTTTCAGCTAAATTATATGCCTTACTTCTAATGAAGATAGCAAACTGATTAGTCCCAAATAAGCAAATAAAGTAATTAAATAATCTGAATATTTTGAGTGAGTAGTGAAACAGTTAAAGGTTTGCTGCACAATAACACAATTTTATGAGTTAAAATGTATGTTTAAACAATGTAACACTCCAAATAATTTTAAAAGTATAACTGATAAGTCATTTTTTTTGGTCTTACCACCTCTATAATTCCCACCAGCACATTTTATTAGGACTACTACTGTCCAAAGTACAACTCAGCTTCCAGCAGCGTTTGTTTTCCTTTCCAAAATAACAACCCATAGGCCTGAAAAATAAGCTTCTCTCAAAAAATGATTTAGGATGTGAATGGCTTTACAATAGCATGATGTCCTAAGCATTGACTGTATTTTAATCATATAGACATTAATTCATTTGGAATAAATCAAAAAATTAGTTTCCACTTTAACGATCATTTACGTTGCCAGAATAATGTAAAAGCACAAAAAATTCTTACATCAATCAAACTCTGAGTAAGCAAAGCACTGAAGAAGCCCTATTCATCATCCTTTTTAGCAAGTTGGTTAAGACAGCACATTTCCTCACAGACTATTCCAGGCCAGGAAAACTTGTTGCAAGAGATTAATTACCTTTATGACCTTTTCCAAAATGACAGTATTACGCTAAGGAATAAACTAGCCTTTCCAGTTGAAGTGTTCCTTCCCCAAGAAAATATTTTTCCTATACTCTACGTCAACTCATGTCCCCAAAAGCAAAAGCTATAGCAAAACCTGCACACCAGCAGAACTTTCCACGCTTCCTTTTTTATTTGCTGTCACTCAACCAAGGCAAAGTCTAATGTTTCATGAACCCAGGTGAGTAAAACAAATTTCCCAAAATGACTGATTTCCTTATCACTAATTCCTTTATCTTGTTGACTGCTTTCACCCTAGCTTTTTCTTTCTCATTTTTTGTGACAGGGAAGTATCTACCGCTGCAGACGCTGGGCTACATCTGAAGTTGACTCCTCCCACTTCTAACACCAAATGAGTGCTTCCAGACCTCACGACATATCACATCTAAAACACTTCATGGATTTACAGCTCAATCTGGAGGAACATCACATGGAATATTAGACTGTTAGCAAGTCCGTAGCGTTGAATACAGCAAACGTTTTTGCTGTAAGTAAATACAGAAACTTACTTTGCTATCAAAAAAAAAATACATTTTTCTAATGATTTTTTTTTCTCTCAAGTGACTGGAAGTTGTACTTGTGTAAAATAACTATCAAAATGAAATAAATACACTCTTAATAAATACATTAGCCACTACATTACCAGAATTCAATTTATATTAAGTGCTTAGAATACATTTCTGTTCAAACACAAAAACATAGAATCCAGAATCTCTGCTGTTCAATCAATCTGTTCTGGTATGATAATAAAAATAATAGATAATAATTATCTGTCTCACTCCTCGAGGTGGTCATTAAAAGTTTTGAGCCAGATCCTGAACTGTGCTGACAGTCACACCTATGCAGATCCCCACATGCATTGGTTTAGGAACTTTATTCTTCTCAAGGAGACAGAAAGGAAATTTAACAGCCTGCCCCAATAATATTCTCTGGAGCGTGTTGAGGCAGTGAGGGATGGGAATAAAAACCAAACTGTGTACCTAGAGACAGAATCTATTTTGCATTTTTTGGTTTATAATACAGAATCTATCCTACGCTCAATTCCTGCATTTACAACTCACCATGCTCCTGGGGAGGAACCCACAGGGAAAAACTAGAGAAAATCGTAAAATATGAAATGTGTAGGCAAATCACCTTTTACCTCAACATAATACAAGTAAAAACTAAATTGAATTCAAATTAATGAATAACAAATTAAAATAAACAGAACTGAATGAAAGCAAAAGTGATTAGTATCATATTTACTCATCTTTTTATTTCGTAGAAAACCTTCAGTTTTAGAATTTAACATGGATACAGAATAAGATAAATCACCATAACGTGAACAGGTGACCACCTCTTGCAACTTCCCACTGAGCTCTTGTAATTTCACTAAAATTTCATTAAAATTCATTATAAGTTCATTTCTTGGCATCAGAACTGTCACAAAAATCGTAGCTACGGACCTACCACCTGTTCAGGCAAAGAAAACAGGAAGCTGCCGCATTTTAGAATTCCAAATTAAGAGTAAACATAAAGGAAGACCTTGCAGCTGCAAATATTGCTACAGGTATATCAGGAAGGAGATAAAACAACAAAAGCAGAAGGAGAAACTAAGTACACCACCATTACTGGCCTGCTTATCTAAAGGCCTTCTAAAAGCACAGTCCATTCAACCGGGCACATCCTATCCACACACACCACAGCTAACAGGAGAGCAAGGTGACCTACAACGCTTTTACCTTTCGACTTGTGTCTGCATTTATGAGACTTTTTGCCTGATGGAAATAGAGCTAAATTAAAAAAAATAAAAATAAATAAATAGAAATTTAATTAAGTGTACATTTAAACATCAGCTACCCACCGCCTAAGAATAATAAAGAGAATAAAGTATGACATGTTGCAAATATGAATATCTTCTGAGCGTGCAGAACATCAACTCTTTATGAATACCAAAACCTAACGTGAAAGTAGAGATGAACATAATTCTGCCTTTATATGTCACTATTAAATGCTAAATTCTTAAAGTTTAGGAACATTAGAAATATTTAGGATGAAATCTACTTACTGGCTTTTTGGAGAAATTTGGATTCAACTATAACTTTCAAAGTAATATATAAAACACTGATTCAATTGAAGTTATTGAGATATTTCGAAACACTATATCCTAGCATTAAAATAATAGTAGAAAAGAAATAGTTCATTCAAGTCAAAAAGAACTTTCAGAATTCCAAAATATTCACTTTGGTCCTGATTTAGGTAAATGAAAATTTTAGAAGCTCAACATCCAAGAGGCTCAGAGATTAATGATTCTGATGGGATATAATAACAGACTTGAAACCAGTTTGGTTACTTTTCTTTATAAAAACAAATATGTTCCTCCCTCCCCCCCCGCCACCCCGCCCAAGTACTTTAAGAATATAAATGTTTCTCTTCACCTAAATAAGAAGTTAAACCCATGGTAGCAACTAAATTTGCTTAACCTTTCTCACGTCAGAACTTATATAGCTTCCTGGGTAGGAATAAGTTTCTAAGAGGGTATCCAAGAAAACCCTGGCAAAATCATTTGTCTACAAAGCTATATCATTTTCTAGAGGAAGCTTAACTCTTAACATAAAATCTCAATCAGACTGTCCTTCTCATTCAATTCCCATGTACTCAAAGACAGTAAAAATCTGAAAACAGAACCTTTCCTTATTTGGCACCTACCTCTTCCTCTAGTAGTAAGATATATAGTGTTAAATGTTTTTTTTTTTTTAATATGTCAGATGAAATAATCGAGTACAGCAACATTTCTGTCGTTAGAAGAAGCCATACCAGCAGCAGAGAACATACACATTGCAGCTGTGTTTCAGAATATATCACTAGCTTGCCTGCTAGTACCTGAGGCAAAACCAGAGCAGTTGCTCTGGAGAACTCATTCCCTCCCATAGCATCTATCCAAACAAAACTTACTTAAGACCAGGCTGCAACGGCCTTGAACTGCCCTGCAACGGTCACAGATCTGATATTCACTGTCTATGTGCGTTACGCTTGTTTATATGTACAATCTACAAAAGATAAAGGCCATTTCCCTGGAAGAAACTTTCATTTTGAGCTTATGCTTCAGACTGGGATGTTTCAAAGTCCGTTACAATAACAATCAGCTGTGTACATTCACAAAACGCATACAGTTAGTAAAAGAATTTCTTTCAATAATTTTTCAGTAAGTTGCTCAACTGGCTGTCAAAATAAAAGGAGAAAATCCATAGTCACACCCTAGGTAGTCATTCACATACTATTTGCATGCACATTATGAGTAGCAAGAACTCCCACAGATCTTCCTTATGTATACTTTACCTTCAGTGTGCTACCTCACACGTAGCTTGCTAGCACAAATATCCAGTGAACGCAAACATAGCATCCATGATTAAATTAACATCTGCTCATTGGTAAATTGGCTAAGGTAAATAACTCTGGTCAGCATAAAGCCAGCCGGCAAGAGCTTGTGAATCTGGATGAGATATGCTCCCTCCAGTGACTACTTAAAAAGGGTATACTGACTTCTACAGTCTTGCCTTACCTGCTAGCTCAAGTTAATACAGAAACACAGTAATAATCGCTAGTGTCCTATCAAGTACTCTTTAGAGAGCAAAGGCTTTCTCAGAAAGAGTCTAAGTGGGCTCAAGAGCTTTCTGCCCTGCCTCCTGAATTTAAGGGAGAAAAAAAGACTTGAAAGACACATGAAGTTGAAATATCTTAACGATAATCCAGTAGCTCGTAAAAAAAAATCTTGTGAAGAAGACAAAGTTATACGATAACATTTTTTTGTCGAGCATTGCAATTATACTTCATTTGATGTGGTGACAGAAAACATATTAAGAAAGCATTCTTAACAACTAGTACTTAGCAGTTTTGCCACTAACCACCACTTACCTGTTACCTGAGGTACATATGGAACTGACAATCTTTCCACACTGTATCCACTGCCGCCTAATGATTCTGCAATCTTGTTTGTGAGGAAAAATAAATCTTTTTCATGCTTCTCTAAGGATTTTGGAAGACTGTTAAAATATATATTTAAAGTTATTATCTAACAATAGAGATGTTTTCATGAAGTGAAATATTCTTCCAAAGTCTACAAGCAAGAAGAAAAAGGCTCAGTGGTGATACTCTAATGAAAATAAATTTTTCTCAGTTATTTATGAATGAATGTACACCCCAAAGTGAGTCCACCGAATAACTCTGCAATATTTTGGGAACCCTTAAAACATTCTGATCATCTGAAATACATTCCTCACCCGCTCTGCTATTTCTTTAGAGGACATACGCTCTGATTGACAGAGAAAATTGCAAAGTAATAGTAAGTAAAATACATTTTGCTTTGTTAACATTTACAACAAGCATCATATTACACAGATGCAAGCAAGCATCTCTCACTACAATAAAACATGGCTGAAAAACAGTAGATCTTTTTCATATATGTTTTAACAGTTGGTTTTCTTCTGCCTATTCTATATGCCACTTAACCTCCATACTGCTTTTCACAGACAGAACATATTTCAAAGATGTACAATTTTTAACAGTAAGATAAATATTTCAGTGTTAATTGATTAAGACTCTGAATTCTACTTACTTGCATTTGTCTTTGAAAATTGTTTCCGGTAGAAAATAAGGTGCTTCCAGACTTCTAGTTTCAATGACCTGGGAAAAAAAAAAAAAAAAAAAGACAAAAAAAAGACAAATAGTATGAATGCAATAGTTCCATACTTATTTCCTCCAATGAGTAAGCTGCTTAAAGAAGTTCTGTTGCAGATTAAAAGCTTCACTAACATTTACCTCAGCACAAACAAACACCTTTTAACCAGAGAAAATGATTGTGGTACTCAGCCTTTAAACAAAGAATCTGGTTCCCATGGTCTTGTGTACACTAGCATTATTTTACCAAAGCTAGTGAGGCTGTAAAATCTTATACCAGAAGGAGATTTAGTCCATTATACGTAGCAGCATAAACCAAGTAAAACTACTATGCTGTGAGAAAAGAACATTCTGTGGATAAGTTTAAGAGTCAGTAAGTACTGCTATCAGAGACAGAAGACAAACAGCACTGTTGGTGGACGTAAATACAAAAGGCCAGTTCTTAATATAAAGGGTAGGTGAAGATTTGCTTAATATGCTTAAAATTACGCTAAATTTTTTCTGAGGAAAGTGTCATTCATAGCTAACTGGAAAGGCAATTGCTGCAGAAACAATATAAAATACAAATTATGCAAGTAAAATGAAGACTTGAAATAAAAGCTATGCTAGCATTTTAACCTATTTCACTTGTTATGCATAATTTTGTTACTTATAGCATTTCATCACCATGTTCCTCATTAACACACAAAGTCACAGAACAAACAATTACTAACTGAAAGCTATTTAGTCATTTTACAGCAAGATATACTGTACTAAGTGACTGAAGTTTCTTAATTAAGTGTTACCTTGCTGACATGCTGACAAAAGGCAGGGACAGCAATCATCTGACTCAGAAAGTTTAGATAAGCTGCAACCAATGCCATGACACCACAACGATTAAACATTGGCAGATTATCCTCATTGATGATGGCAATGTCCTGAAATATAAAGGACAACATTAAACACTCCAACGTTAACAGGCTGTCCGGAACATATGGAAGTAGCAATGATTTGCAGTAACATTAGCTGATACACGATGACTATCTAGTATTACTTGGCATTTAATACTTTCACTGTACAGTCTTGGCATGGCTGTTTAACTCCTGAATTAGGTAAATAATGGTCTGGAATTAGAGAGCCTGAAGGATCTAGCCCCTAAAAAGGAGGAATAAATCCACTCAATTCAAATTTTATTTCACAGGAGGAGAGCACAAAGGAATGACTGGTAGTCTCTAGCCCTTAAGATCCCCATACAGACCACCTGCTGTTCATAAATTTTTTTCAGGAAAATTAGAAAAGTAGATTTTTTTTTTTTTTTAAATCACTGTTGAGAGTCCTCAGAACCAAACCATAAAGGGCATTATTTAATGCTTATTAGTATAAATTTCCATGAGATAAGGAAGCAGAGAAAGTCAATTTTCTTCAAGATCATCTAGTAAGGCAACATTATGTTCAACATGACTCCTCAGGATCCCTTTTTAGTCACTTTTTCTTCTACATCAACTTGACTCTTTTGCATTTCCAGCTCACACTATTTACTTTTGCTAAACTGTTTGGAGAAGTGACTTTTTAGGAAAACTGTCTTACAATGCAGACACCAAATAAACGTCACAGAACAGATCTAGGAAAGTCTTCCAGACTTCCAGGCAAATATGTGCCTTTTAAGCTTCCCAAAGATACTGTGCAGCTAGTGATGGTTGAAATACATATTTAGGTTTTTAATTATGAATTTACCACCAGTAAACAAACAAATAAAATGCAAACTTGAAACTGTACCTGAAACATCTTTTCTTCATGCTGCCATTCGGTCTCTTTCATGCATATTTCTCAGCTTTGATAGCTAAGGAACATCTCTGAACTTAGACTAGCTATTTGCATTTATGAGAAAACTCAAGACTGTTAAAGCTTACGGTTTGAACAAAATCATTTTTTCACATACCCTGTTCACTCTCCTGTGTAGGAGTTAGGAGTGGTAATTCAGTTGACTAAAAGGTTTCTTAGATATGTCAATCTGTGTCCCATGGGCCATTTCATTTTACACACATATGTAAGAAGATTTATCCTCCCACATAAAATTTGATAGTCTTACATTTTGAATTAACTTGCCAGAGTTCCAGAGACAGAATATATGAGATGCAGATGATGCATCTCAAATGCCTCCACTTCTGTTTGGTCAGTTGTTCATATTTAAATCCTTCCTCAAAATTATTCAGTCTCAATAATCAATTAACTTTTTATTATGGCTAAAACAAATAAAAATAATAGACACATCCATTTTCTAGCATAAGTAATTTCAGTACAAAAGTGAAGTGGTAATACAGGACACAATTTTATTAAATTTCCATGACCCATACCAGTACTATTTTTCAGACTAATTTTGACATGGATAAAGCTAATAAGTTTTACAGCTTTTCCAAAGACTACATGCAAGTATAAAATATATGTTTGATCCTCTACAAGAAATGTCAAGAAGTAAAGCCTGTCAATACACTGGCAGAATTTTAGTATAGGTAAGATTAAATAAGCTTGTTTCTAACCAATTGTTCAAAAGCTTTCTCCCAAGATGAAGCTATAACTTTTTTTTTTAAATATATATTTTCATAATAAATACTGAATCAAGATCACAGACAGTAAGAATATCTTGTCAATCTATTCTTGAATATACCAGTGATTCTCAGGAATGTTTCAAGAGACTTCTTCTATATTTGATAAAGAATACATACTGCAGGAGTCAGCAACAAATCTGATAAGTTGAGTATTCCCTATTATTATTATGTATATATTATACATCCTTAAAATCATATTAGGTCTGAATGATGTGATTTAAAGATTGATAGGCAAACAAACAAAATATTCACAACTCTGTTCACAAATATAAATTACTAATCAACGACCTCAATGCTGATCAAGAATCATACCTGCAAAGCAATAGCTAATCGAACGAGGTCAATAACCACTTCTTCATTGGCTAGTTCAATTGTGGTAAGAGCTAGAGATGTATACAGAAGCTCAAAGTTCTTTTGGACATTGTCTTCTTCTTTACAGCCTAAGTAGATGTGTCTGTACAGCTGCAGACTATGCTATAATTAAAATAAATAAATAAATACATAATAGTAATTTAGGTTAGAAGGGACACCTAAAGGTGATCTAGCCCCAAGCAGGGCTAACTTTGACATCAGATCATTTTTCTTAGAGAATTAAAAATATAAATGTACATATATCAACAGTTTACAACCATGACAGCTACTTCAAATAGGTGGATTCTTTCTAAATATAATACTTGAGGTTTTTTTGGTTTTGTTTTTTTAATACAGAAGTACATAGACAGGCAAGATAACGCAGGGAATTGTGCAGGGAATTGACGCAGAACTGCGTCTGATGTTGACATTCACTTCCTACTGACATATTCTGAAAAATTTCCCAGTGTATGAAAAGCAGAGAAATAAAAAATATATCTTGAAATATCTTTCAAATATTTAAGTAACTGAGAAGCTTCAAGGGTTATCCATGCAGTCTAGGTTCAGACACTTAATTTGTACATTACACTCCTCACAGCAAACGGAGAAAGAAATTTTTCTATAGGGTGACTCAGAAGATGAACATGGCTTACTTACCACTGGGCATACAGAGGCACTAGCTCCAGTGAAGGACATAAGTTATCTAAAATTTGGTAGAGTGAAAGACCCACAAAAAAGTGACTTTTCTTTCCTCACTGAACAGAACACCAGATGAAAGTAACATCAGGTTTAACCAAATCTTTGCAAAGAAACAATTATTTCAAGACAAAAAATAAAAATACAGAAAAACAGGTTAAAAAGTAGGTTTTGTATGCAAGACACTGCTCTGTACCTCCCCATTATGCTTAACCTGTACAGGATACAAGTCTATGCCACTTGGTATGATTATTTTTCAGGATATAAAGATTAATGCTTCAACTCGGAAAGTCATAATTTACCTTTAGAAGGAAAAATAAAACTAATTTGTAAGATTTGTTTTTCAAGTAGAAAATATTCACTTAAGAAGTAATAAAGATGCTGTTAGTCTTTTTTTATGTTTCTACAAGCAAATCATAGTTCTTCAAATATATATGGCTGTCCAAGAGTGTTAAGGGTCTAGTGTTGTATTCAGAAAAAAGGGGGAAATGGAGCTATTAGTAAAGCACAACAGCTACTATGAAGAAAGCATAGTAAAGGTTAGCTGGACATTGGGCACAACACACTTGGAAAATACACATAATGACGTAATTCACCACACTGATAAAAAAAAAAAAGGTTCCCAAATACAAAAATAAATGCATTATGTGGATTTTCTAAAATATACAGTATCTTTCTAGGAAAGATGCAAGAAGTTTGACATTTCCCTAGTTAGACGTTGGCTATCTTTAGTATCTTTAGTTTCTTTAAATAACACCGAGAGAAAAATGGCTTTGAAGAGGTAGGCTCAGATGAAAATAGCAAACAAAAACAAAGCAACATAGGACAGGTGTGAAAAACACATATATTTTCCCAGGCTGGTCACAATGACAAACATTTTTAAGATCTCCTTGTACTGACCTCCATAATTTGTATTTTCTGTTTACAAATATATCTACACAGATAAGCTATAGGCAGGAAATAGGCAGTTCTCAGAGAAAATGATAAGAGCACATTAAAAATGACAGGTATTCCTCCCAAGCAGGAGAAAAGGTGTTTAATGTAAAGAAGCAATTCACTCCACATAACCATAATCTAAAAAATCAGGTATTACTTAACACAGACCTTCCAGACTGAATCTATTTCCTTAACTGCCAGACAAAACAAATTTAAGCATTTCTGTACGTTCACATACTGCAGGCTTAACTGGGAAGTTGCTACATATCCCTGGCAGGAAGCTACAACATTAAATACAAGGTTTCTTTAGAGGGTGTCTTTGGAACCAAACATAACCAGAAGTCAATGGGCACAATGTCTTGTAAAAACAATCTTGTAAGGAGGCACAGTTTTTCTTCAAAGTTAACTCTTTCATATCTTTTCTTCTTAAGACACTGTACCAAGTAGATTTTTTTTTAAAGAAGCCTTTTAAGTAATGATCTGAAAACACAACGAGATACATGTCATAGAAGAGAAAGAATGTTACTCAAATTTGAGTTTATACTTTAATTCTGCTTTTATAAAAAAAGCATTGAGAACTAACTCTGCATGAAAAGATCATACTGAGCAAAAATGAAATGCTCTAGAGATCTAACTATATGGCGCTCTTTTCAGAGCTATGGTTTAGATACATACGGTTCAGATTTCATGCACGCAACGATTTTCACTGAAGAGCTATTTTATTCCACAGAAACATCTCTGAAGTACCTAAAGTACCCCAATATTTAAGTCATTGCGATTTGAATTAAAATACTTGCCACTGATATTGGCATCTTGTTGCTATAAGAGAGTTGTAGAAGAAAAACAAAGCTACCGGTTCAGTTACTTTATCTTCTTTCTAGATGTAGAGGTCACCTTTTCCATTCTATTACCTTTTTCATGAAGCTCACATCTTGCCTTGAAATTTTGTCTCGTTTTATCTTTAGATCAGAAACATCTGGTATTATTCTACAAAGGAAACCAAGATGACATTTTAGTAAGAAGAGGTTGCAAAGGGAAAAGAAGATGTGAAATATATGAACTGTTCAAACAAATCTTGAAGCAATTTCCACTTTAATTATATTCATGTTTAACAATGACATTCAAATTTCTGTTTAAGAGGCGGAACCATAAATGCAATTATGACAATCACAGACTCCACCTCCTCATAAGATACTATATTCTGCCTTCCACAATGCAGATACCAGTTATAAAGTCAGTTAAACTAGCAGCTATTTGGAACTATCATTTAATGTATCTGCATTAAGGCTTACTTGTGATAGTCTTTCCATCAACAAATGGCATCAAGAGTACTGTGCATTTATCATAGGACATTAACATTTAATATTTGGGAACGATATTAAAAAAATCTACATTTCTTAGCATTCAGACATTAAACCAGAATTTCGACTATGCCAAAGCAAACGCACAAAACAAATACCGTATTCCTCTGAGTTTTGCTCTGTTGTCATGCCGATCAATGAGATTATGCAGTATTTCCAAGACCAGCTGCCTTAGCTCAGAGTCCTCCATAAGCGAAGGAGACAAGAGTGGGTCCAGAAACGGGGCAGGAAGTGCATTAGTAATAGCTGTTGCTTTGTATCCTGAAGTCACCTGTTCATTGTTGAATTAACATTAATGTGTCATTATTCAACTATAAGAATTACTTGCAGCTGCTATTCACTTTTTAGCGGGTTTTGTGTGGCATCTGGGAGGTGGATTCAATTGGAAGTTCAGGTTTAATTTTGAAAAATTCCTAATCTCACTACGAATTTGGAAAGCCTTTAACATTCATGTTCAAATGAACTCCCTCATTTGTTTTTAAGTGGCTTTTCTCAGGATCCTTCCACTACTAACATACTCAAAAGAAAAATAAACCTACTGTTCATGAAGTACTATTCCTGAATAAATATCCATGGGGGGAAAGGGGGAAGGGAGAAGAAAGCCCATGAAAAGTTGGAGGAGGTAACAATTTGTACAAAGAATTTTCCATTTCAAGCTTAATTTAATCTCTGAGCTGTTCACGTATGATACCAGGTATGCTCTTGTGGAAAAAAAGAAATTGAAAAATCAAGCCTATATGTACATCTTGAACATTTATGAATACTGACGCATTGCAAAAAAAAAAAAAAAAAAAAAAGGAGCAAACATTTTCTTAGAAATTTTGTAGTAAGTTTCTATTTGTGTTAGTTTTTAAACTAACACTGACCTGCTTCATTCAACTATTTCTCTTCAAAGTAAGTACTGTAGATACACAAGAAAGAGTTTACTTCAACACAACAATTTTAATATTAATCAAGTGAACATTTACAGCAGTTAGAAACATTTAAGAAGTTACTGCCCCTTAAACAGTAGATTACCAAAATATTACGACCTCAACAAAAAAACGGGATTCAGAAACTGCCAAATACAAGCTGCTGAGGATGAGGGGTTCAAAGTAATAAAAACTGAGTTATAAAATGCAATCATATGTTTGTCAAAGACTTTGTATGATAAACCTGTCTTCACTGCACATTTTCCACACCATTACAGTTTTCACATGTGAACTGTGTGCAAGCACCAGTCCTAAAAGCGCAAGTGAAGACATAATAGAAGGGAAACTGGTTGGCAGAGGAGCATGAGGGCCTTAGCAATGCCCCATGAAGGAATCTGATTATGTTCTTAGAAATGGAAAATTACTAGGTTTTACAAATAGTAAGGCTGCAAATAGTTTTAATGAAGTGCCAGATTTTAACTGCCTGTACAACTTCAAGTTGTCCACCTGTGTGTACACACGACAACAGACTGCTTACGCTATTAGGTATTATTCTTTTCCTAAAGCACATGTTATATGGAGTGCTCAGTTCAGCAGTTTCTAGCTCTTTATTATGTGTGCAAATCACACCTTATATACCACCAAAAAAAACCCCACCTTTGCTCCCTCCCACATCTTTTCTGCAATATTTACCAATGTCTGAGTAATTCATAAGCTTGAAAACATCCACTTTTACATCTTTGTGCAGTGAGGGGATTTTGGTTCCACTTTATAAAAGAGGAGCCAAAACAAAATTGAAGGTCAGAAGTGTTCATTTATTTTTGTAGGCACAACCTGAATCCCTCACAGCCTTGCTTACAGGCTATGTAGCACCCCAAATAATTTTAAAAAGTTCTCACTGACTTCAATGGAAATTCTTGAGACTAGTCAGATAAATACTGTCAGGAACAGTTTAGGCACAGCTAATCCATCTTAAATGAAGACAGTGTATAAGATGATTCCCTGAGGTCCCTTCTAATGTTTTTTCTATCATTAAAGTGCAGGTTCAGCTCTCCTGCAAGCCAGAATCCAGGATTTCATATTCTGACCTGCAAAGAACGGTTTAATTGATTTGCCTAGCACTACACAGATATTTCATGGCATAACAGGGACAAAAACTCATTTTCCAGAAAGGTATTCTACTGCTTTATTCATGAAACCATCCCCCTTCATACAGTTTCCCCTTCCTCAGGAACTGAACGATTTTCAGATTCTGAAATAACATAGGCCAGGATTCTACAAACAACAGTCTCCTTTACTACCAAGTTCTGGTTCTTACCATCAGGACTTACCTCCTTTTTACAGAATAAACTCAGAGACTTGTAGAAAAAATAGTCAAACTATCAGGAGGCATTCTTGCTATGAGGACAAAAGGTGGCTGCACAAGCAAATTACTGTATGATCAACTTTGTTATATTATTGCTACTTAGCTTTTCTGCAAGTGATGTAATATGCATCTATTAAAATTACTACAAGTATCAAAGAGCGCCAATATGAGGGTTAAAATTGCAGTTCAGGAAGTTCCTGACAAGCGCATTCTAAATATAGTTTCTCAGACTGAATCCTTAAGAAGAGGTTGACAGAACTAAGTCTCTAGGATAATTCCATCAAACACAACAGCGAGAATTTAGCAGAACTGAGCTCTATATTCACTACATTAAAACACCTCTAGATGTTGTTCATCGCTGGTGCTGTACGAAGAACCAGTAAACGAAATCCCTTTTGACTTCTCCCAAATATGGCTGGAGTATAATCTTCAAGAGTGCTCCAAACTCTCTGTCCTACCCGGGGTATAAAAAAGTACCTCAACAGATCACTTACACATGTAAAAGTCCTACGTATGTGTGCGTATTTGTATTGGTAATAGCTACAGAAAACCTGGATGGCAAACACAAACAAGATGTCTCTTCAAGCTAAGAAGTGTTTCACTATTTTAATCATTCATAAAATGCTGCAGAGAGGTCTCTGGTATTTTCCAGAAATACTATTTGAAGGTTAAGGTTTGAAAAAATGTATCTGTGATAAAACATTTAATTATACCTAACAACAAACTGAGAAATACTAGGAAGGAAAGAACAATTGCACCTGAGGCTTCAGACTTGGTGATAGGCATCCATCCCTACATTATAAAAAGATGTTAGCAATTCTACGACTGATAGCTTTCCTAATACCACAGACAAAAGTAATTTCACTTTGATGTTGCTATCATTGCTGGCAGAATTAGTCAACTCACTCTGCGGCATTCTTTTAGAACTGCAGATCCAGTTATAGCTGATACCCACTGCAGTGCTCTAAGACATGGAAGAATATTTCCTGAATAGCTTGTAAAGTGGTTGGTAAAGAGCTGGCAAAATTTTATTCAATAGAACTAAGGAACTACTTAATATAAACATTTTTTTAGTTTCATAATACAGAATTGAAGCGCTCTACTTAAATGTATAAATATATACAGTGAAACACTCTGTGGTTATAACATAATACACTGAACAAAGAAGGCTTACCATAAGTAAAGACCTCAATAACATGATCTGAATCCTCCTAGTTCCCAAATCCCTACAATCAGAAAAAGCTGAAAATTAGTTTTTTGCATATCTTCAAAATACTATTCTATTGCAGACATCATTCTCATGACTGCTTGTTTGACAACTGAATACAGCTATTGTGCGAAGGCAATGCAGGATGACCACAAATAAGGAGCAAATGTATCCTAATGAGGTGCGATAACTACGTGTTTCTGAATGGGATATTTACAGCAAGGTTTAAGAAAAGAAACATATAGCATATACATAAAAATAAATGATAGATGTGATCTAAATCTTCACATATGCCATTTTAAAAATCTTTCATAGCTGAAACGCTCAACCTGAGCCTCATTTTCAGAAGCATCAGTGCTCAGAATTTTTTCTGAATGTGTAACTGAGTCTATTAAGAAGATAGGACATTTTTTGTTCAAGTAAGACACCAAAACTTTGAGAATTACCAAAAAAAAAAAAAAAAAAAGAAGCTCCAAAGTTAGCAGGGAAAATCCAAAAGAATCGCAGAATTCTTATATCACAGGAAGGCAGGTGGAAGCCTGTGCTTCCTCCAATCTAATTTTACACCTGCTGGTACTAAAAGTAGTTAAATATCTATCGATATATAGCCCCCTAAAGCGCTGTTCTTGCAAGATTTTACAGGATAAAAGTATATTTGGAGTAAATTGCTCCCTTCAAAGTGACTCTTTCTAGCAAGTAAAAAAAAATTCGTTTTCTTGATGTGCAAATCCCTTCGTCCACCAAATAGCATGGAGAAAGAGCAAGCCTCTTTACAAAAGTTGGTCTCTGCAAAACAGTGGAAACTTCCATCTTCACCGGATATAACACTGGATATATGCAGTTGGTAGCATCACCCAAGTATCCTGTGCAGCAGAGACCAAACTTCTGGATATGTAATGCAAGATTGTATCACCAGTAAAAGCCTACTTTCTTTAGAATGACACATGAACATTACATTAATAGACTAAATACTCAGCCCCACGCTGAGTCTATCACATAAACTGGTAGCACAAGTACAGAATTCAAAGATCTTCTTAATGACTCATAATTGCCTAGCATAGACAGATTTGTATCTTCCATGGATGATTACTGTTGTTCAGGGACACAGTATGCTTTACGTGTTATGAAAAACTGCCAAGAAGCCAGGAGAATGACAGTGACCTCCTATATAAACTATCAGGAGATCTGACTTAAGAATGTATGGTGTCAAGTATCCCTGCATTCCTGGAACTTATAGCTGCAACCTTCTCAGTTACTTTTCCCATTCTGAGTAAAAGCAGCCTTTAAATACAATTATTAATACTATAAGCAAAAGTATTAATTCAGAATAAGGAAGTTATTATCAGTTTATTGCAGGACTCTACCCACCTACAGCTTTTTTTCTTTCTTTTTTTTTTTTTTTAATAAAAAGGGAAAATCTAAGATGAAAAAACTTTAATGTAGTTTCTGCAGTCCATTTCTTAATCTGAACTTAGCTTGTGTAGAGTGAAGCCAAAACAAAAACCATTTGTAAATTATGCAACTATTGGATAATGGTAGTTATAGCTCCACTTCCTTGATTCACTTATTATGTCTTTAAAAAGTTATGAAATTAACATTGAATGGATAATTTCAGAAACACTGTAGATGAGGACAGCAGAAATGTTTTAGTGTAAAATAAGTAGAAAATGCTTGATTGGAATGCTATCCGACATGTCTAGAGACTGAGTTCATACTGTTGACACTGTTTGCCTTGTTTGCGCATGGCATTTAATACAGTCCTTAACAAGTGAGAACTTGCATTCCAATTTTCTTAATGTTTTTCACTTCTTGATTTAGCAGGATTTGAAAAATTAAGTTTATAATTAGAAATTCAAAAATACAGAAGGTCATACAAACCCAAGGTGGCTCGTATCCAGTGACTGCGTAGCTATCCCAAAAACAGGTACTTTTCCCATAATGAACATCATAATTTCTGATCTCTGGTAATCTGGGAGATTGCTTCCAAAAAATCCTAAACAAAAAGGAGTGAAAGTACAGAGGGAAA